TTAGGTGGGCCCGCTGTTGCCCGAGTCAAAATCAGGATTTTGTTGATGAGAACAGTTGTCAAAATAGATGCTGGGTGGGCACCAGGTGGTATATCTACTATACCCACCATCTAAGGTGGTTGTAACGGGTTCAGTGACGTAACAACCGCACACTTGTCTGGTTTATAACATGCACTCAATTAAACAGTAGCTATGCTTATTGCTATTACTTATAAATTATAATGTCGCTTTGGAAGTTGGCTTGTTGAGATAACGTTCTCTTGCAATGATACTGAAAGAAGTAGCATGGGAAGAAGAAACTAAACATTTATTGATGGCCTGGTATGTGCCAGGCATTTTATTGATACGTTATCTGATTTAATTCTCGCAGAGAACTTGCAAAGTGGGATTATTTGCCCCATTTCACAGATGAGGAAACCAAGGCCCAATAACGTTGAGTGGATTGTTCAAGGAGCACATCCCACTGTTGTGCCTTGAATGGGTCAGAGACTGTAACGATCTGTAGTTTAGCTCTTAGCTCTTGGAGTGAGCAGGTAGGGATTGGGGCAGCTGGATCCTCTGGGCCCTTCAGCTCCAGCCCAGCAGCCTCTTCTGGTTACTGCACCGCGCCTTGCAATTATCATTTTTTGCATGCTGCATGATGCGGCACAGGCTTGAAAGTACTGCTCTATCGGCGAGTAGGAAGCACAGCTGGAACTTGAACCCAGGCGTGTTTAAGTCCAGAAGCCGCCCTTCTTTCCGTGATTGGGCCCTCCCCTATGTCTAGAAACAGTGAATCTTAGGCTAACATAGGAGTTCAAATCCAGCTTCATTGAATACATAATTCGATGTATTGAAGAAATACATTTCTTTTGTACTTACATGTCTCTCTTCCTTATATTTCTCTTTCTCTCGTGTTTCTCCCTCCCTTGTTCTCAATATAACCATCGCATGCTTAAGAGGGGGTTTAAAAAGAGATTAGGGTTTCAGATGATAAAGTTAGTTAACATTATTTGCTATTAAACTGTAATCTGCATGGAAACTGACTTGGCCACTAGGTGTCTCCTTTTGGTTCTGTTCTGTGTCCTCTTAGAAGGCACCTAAAACGTATATAAGGAAGATTAAGCAACAGAAGATTAAAAAGTAAATGGGATCTGTACTCTGAGGATTCCAGTTGCCTTTTTTTTTTTTTTCTTTTGGTCTTTTACTCTCTACTTCTGTTCCTCCTTGCTCATGGGCTGATGTTTAGATAATAGATCAGTTCTCTGGAAACTTAGATGAGTCTTTGATAACCTCCTTCTCGCTTATTTAACTATTGTAAAGTGAGCAGAAAGAACTTCCGGGCTCATCTAGACAGGTAGTAAAATAACCAGATTGTGTTGCCCTAATATTTTAGGGACAATTTTAATAACAATTTATTATCATGGGAATACTTGTGTTACGAGGCAAATAATGATTGTATTATTAATATTAATTTCCCTGTTCTGTAATACAGTAACATTGGCTGTAACCTACATGTGTTATTTTCTGCAATTCTCACAGGAGCCCTACATCGTCGCCATTTTCCCCCTGATGTTAGAGATAAAGAAGTTGAAGCTTAGAGATTGGTTAATTTGGCTTCAAGTTTAATAGAGTTTGGTTGCTTTCATATCATGTCCCCTCCATTTGGAAGTGGTTAATTCATTATAGTAGTGGGGAGAGTTCAATTTGAGTCAATACAATTTAAAGTACTCAAGAAATAATTCCACCAAGAGCACTTCCGGGATCATGGTTTGGTTGCGAGCGCAGAACTCCTGTTTTCCGCAAGTTGCCTTGTAGAAGTGAGCAGCGTCTCTGGATGTGGGCTCCCTTCAGGAAGGCTACAGGCTCTTTGCAGAATTACAAATTGTGTACACTCAGGGATCACTTCCTTTCACTTGCCTACAAATGAGGCACCCATTATCATAGAAACAGCAGGGCATTTGACAGCTCAGGTTCAGACCCCGAGCTTCATAGAATGGAACATTCTTCTTATGCAATTAGGGGCACACTAAAAAGATGGAAATGCAGCTAGGCCTAGGGTTTTCTGAGACTGCTGGCTGATAAGCTCTCTTTTACTCGAATTTCGATTCTGCATTAATTTCCCGCTTTCTCCAATCGTCTTAAAAAAAAAAAATCAGCTCACGCTAGGTTTTCTTTAGTCTCGAGTAATTTAATTGTGCTTAGTATCTCTCCAGTTGACTCCCCAGTTGTGGTGGTGATTTCTGCAGACCACAGGAAAATGTATAACAAATGTGAGATGAGAGAACGTTGTCAGGCAGGTAGCATTTTCTCTGGGAACTTGGAGCCCGGAGAGGGAGCAGTCCCCAGCGCTAACAGGCACACCCCCAAGATTTGCCTCCAACACTGTCAGTTCTCTCTCTTTGTTCCCTTTCCCGACTCACTTTCTGCCAGGGATTTGTGACATATTTTGTAGCAGATCAAATGAGCCCCTGACACCTGATTGCCGAGTGCTTCTTGTTTACAGTTGCTTTCCAAGGACACCTCGACAAGATGGAAAGCTTAACGCACAGTAATTAAATTTGCATCTGCTCTGTGACAGGACTCAAAGGAATTTTTTCCCCCTCCACATATGAATCTCATTGTGGAGCTCCTACTGTCTTTGACCATACAACATCTAAAAAGGCAAGATGTGGACAGGTAAACAAACATTGGTTCAGTCTCCTGCCTATCATTATAATGATGAATATTAATTAAGATCGCTGTTCCCCCTTTCTTACTTGATTTCCTACTCTTCACCTACTTGTTTAGCCAGATTTATAACCGGTCCTAAATACAAGAACTGTGGCTTGGAGGTGAGTTTTTCTTTTTAATCTTTTTAAAGGAAAACAAACATTGCTGAACAATCCGGATTGGTTTAACACCCTTTGGATTGTACATTTCTCACAAATGCTAATGAATAATTCAGTAAAGCCAAACACAATCTGCTGGTGGTATCCAGTGTTATTCACACTTGCTAATGAATAATTCCCTTTGGCTTTTAGAGAGCAGCTCTAAGGAGTGACTTCTGAGACTCAGATGGGTTATTATTGGGCTATTTGTCAGTGTCCTTGGGGCATTGTGAGCCAAAGTCCAACTTGGCTATCCACTCCACATCCCTTCTCTGATTCTTCTGGGAAACATGCCGCTATTTCTGTCTCAGCCTTTTAGCCCTCAAATGTTGCTGTGAAAGAGGCAATGCTATAACGGGATTCAGCTCCACTGTAATTTCATTGAGTCACTTCCTTCATTGTTTCATTCAAAGAAAGAAGTTTTTATTGAACACCCTACGAGGCGCAACGTACTGAGCATGACATTGTGTATGTGCAGAGTTAAAGATAGATTTTATGTGATAGGCCCTTAAAGAGTGTAGGGCATATAGGAGAGGCATGGGGTCTTAGAGGAAGATGCACAGGGTCTTTTTATCAAAATGATCAGTTACCACTTTCTCATTGTGTTCTCAGGTATGCATTTCAACGCCTATTTGCTATTGATGGTGTTGTATGAGGGTTATGTTGCTTTGGGTAAGCCTAAACTTTGATTAATCTTGGAACCGCTCATAGGATAAGCCCTGTAACATGATACCAGAGACAAGGGGGTAAATCTTGTTCATTTCTGCTGCACCGAAGTCAGGAATGTAGTGTATGTCCTGGTTTTATTAGCCTGGAAAGTGTAAAGATGATGAATGTAGATTTATTTATGCCTGAGTTGTCTGTATACCTCACCTTAGCAATCATGCTGCATAACGTAAAACGTGAGATCAATGAGGCACACCTAGCCATAGTGAGATTGTCTCTGGCATCCCTGTATCTGCGTTAGCTTTTTCTGTTCAACTCCTAGTTTTTCCTCTTCTTCCTGAGCACGCTGGAAGATTATAACTCCTGGCTTTCTTATAGTGAGGTGGGATCATGTGGTTACTTCAGACCGATGAAATGTAAGGGGAAGTAGCAGGTATCATTTTCTGGTCAAGACATTTAAGAACCGGGGTACCATTTGCATATATTCGCTTTCCCTGCCACAGTGACCTTGGGGGCCATGTGTTCTAGATTGTGGAGTCTACATTAGGTTGGGTCCGTGAATGACTGTGGGGCAGAGCCCATCCCCTCCCCCACTGGCCCATAGTGGACACGGAATTTGAGCAATGTGGACCTTTGTTGTATAGACCCCCTGAGATTTGAGAGTTTACTCATGATGGAGACTGGACCGTTTTTACTAACACAGAGGGATTAGTGCAGGAGAGGATGTGTGTGTGTGTGTGTGTGTGTGTGTGTGTGTGTGTGTGTGTGTATTATCCAGTTCCTGATATTCTGCAAGATTTCAGCTAGCTTTGCAGAATGTAGTTTCAGTTGGGAATTGGAGGGTAGACCTAATATAGGGAGAGAAAGAGTTTATTTCATCAATGACCGAGGAATCTCTGGGAGAAATAACTTTGGTATAAATAGACTCATGGAAATGAGAGAATAATTAGTAAGGAAAACCAGAGGTGAGGCTATTGTAATTCATGTAATTCAAAAGTAATGAATATTTAATTGTATGTAGCATGTTTAATTGGTAAGATTACAAAACCTGTAATTTTTCTCTTTGCTTATAGTTTATACCGGAGGGTGGCCCTCGAGCTAAGAAAGGTTTTTACATTTTTAATAGATTGTAAAGAAAAGAAGAAGGAGGGTATTCAGTAAGGGCTATATGTGGCCTACAAAGCCTAAAATATTTATTGTATGGTCTTTTGCAGGAAATGTTTGCTGACCCCTGTTTTTTTTTTTTTTTTTTTTATATTTAAAAAAAAAATTTTTTTTTTCAACATTTATTTATTTTTGGGACAGAGAGAGACAGAGCATGAACGGGGGAGGGGCAGAGAGAGAGGGAGACACAGAATCGGAAACAGGCTCCAGGCTCTCTGAGCCATCAGGCCAGAGCCTGACGCGGGGCTCGAACTCACGGACCGCGAGATCGTGACCTGGCTGAAGTTCGACGCTTAACCGACTGCGCCACCCAGGCGCCCCGCTGACCCCTGTTTTAAAATCTCCATACATACACTATTACCAAAAAGTGTCACCTTCACTAAAATGTGAGTTCCTCAAGAACCAGAAGTCAAAGGTTTTATTAATCTGTGTAATTAATTTGTAATCTGTCTTTCTGCCTAGCATGGTGCATAACACGGCACAAGGGCAGAAAAGTTACGTGATTCAATTTCGTACAGAACATGGGAGATATGACATTTTAGAAGATGAGAACTGAGAAGAAATCACGGAAGGCCATAGGTTTGAAGAAATAGAAGTTTTCCTCCTCTGTTCTCTTGGCTGGTGACAGTTTTGGATTTTTTTTAAACCTCATAGATATGGACATTCATTTCATTTTATACTCATTTTCAAAATAAATGTCCTATTTTGAAAGGTTTTAAAGGTATTAACTTCTGCTCTGGTATCACAGTATCGGTAGAGTCTTTTTGTAAATCTATTCATTGTTGATGTTTTCTCCTTTTCCCCGGGCAACACCCAGGTCTCTTTTTCTTTTTTGATTATTTTCATGAGAGTTTCTATAGATTCACTCGCTCATTCATTTGCTCACTCACAGATACATACCCATGGGAAATGAGGGCCTGTCCACACAAAAACGGTTACACAAATGCTCAGAACAACATTACTCATTATAGCCCGGAGTAGAAACAACTCAAAATATCCATCAACTGGTGAATGGATAAACAAAATGTCGTGTATCCCTATGATGAAATATTATTCTGCAGTAAAAAGGCGTGAGCTACTGATGTGTGCTGCAACACTGATAAACCTTGAAAACATTATGCTAAGTGAAAGGCAAACACAAAAGCCTACAGATTGTATGATTCCATTTATGTGAAAGGTCTCTAATAGGCAAATCCACAGAGACAGAAAGCAGATTAATGATTGCCTGGGGCTGGGAGTGGGGCAAGGCAGGAATTGGTGGGGGGGCCCCCCCCGGTTCTTTTTAGGGTAATGGTGAAGTTCTAAACTTAGATTGCCATGATGATTGCAAAACTCTGTGAATATACTAAAAACCGTTGAAGTGTATGCTCTAAATGGATGGATTTTATGTTTTGTGAATTATATCTCAATAAAGATATTAAAAGTAATTACACAGTGGATTGCTCATTTTTTGGTTATGCTGCTGATTATATACCCTCTTACTCAAGTAGCAGTTAGGATTTGAATCTCTTCTGTTGTTTCTTCTTGAATAAAATTTTTTTGGAAACAAATTGATTTATATTCAAATTCCCTCTGACCCTATTCTACATGAATTTATTCCACTTTGTATACTGACAGGTGCACAAGGACATACGCACAAGAGTATTAACTATGGCATTATTTATAGTGGCAAAACATAAGAAACAGCGTGAACTGTCCATCAGAAAGGGACATGTTAAAAAAATTCAGGAAGACGTAGCTGGTGAACTGCCCCAGTACCTTTAAGAAGAGACACTTGTACATGTGCCAGTACGAAACCGTCTTCAAGATATTTAAATTAAAAAAGCAGGATGCAGAATACTTGTTACTATTTATGTAGAATGCTTGCGTAAAGATAGAGAATCTCTGGAAAGATTCAGGTACAGGTAGTTACCTTTTTAGGAGGAGAAGTTTGGGTAGGCCAAGTCATAGGAGAGAGCTTTGTGCAGGGTTAGCCCTTTTTTATACACTTTTTTTTTTTTATAGCAGCATTATTCATAATAGTCAAAAAAGTGGAAACAATGCAGATGTCCATCAACTGATGAATGGGTGAGCAGGGTATGGTATATCCATCTATGCATCTAAGTAGAAGAGCTGGGTCAAAGGGGAGTTGTCTCTAAATCAGTTTTGTTTTGGGGAATTTTAACTCAAGAAGACAGTCTTCAAATATTTAAAAAAAAGAATTGTTTTTAAGTTAAGTTGATTCCTATACCACAGCTCAACAACCAGTCTAGCCCATGTTTATGCATAACCCCTTTTCAATCCACGTGGAATAATTTGTTTGGAGACTCATCCCTTCTCCAGCAGCAGCACCGCCCCCCCCCCCCCCCCCCGCCAAAAACTAATGACGGAACAATTATGTGGTTCCACAGTGATTTTAACACCATCTTCTAACCCGGCTGTGTGGTAGCAGTCTATCTGCAGGGCAGGAATGTGGCTTGCAAAGGACAGTATCACATTGCCCACAATTATTTTAATGTCTCCTGTGAAATGATAAATGAAGTTTTATAGTTATAATAAAAGTAAACGCATTTCCCCCAAGGTATAAAGAGTTTGCAAGTAAAATTTGCATAGTCAGATGTGCTTCTTTTTTTAAAGAATCCTTCTTTGAGGGCTTAAAAAAAAAAATCCCAGGATAGGTTTTCAATGCAGGCATTTATTTCATCAGACCCTATAAGGATGAATGAAGTACGAAATGTTATAAGAGTTGTATGAAAATGTTCTGAGATTTATAGCTGTCCCTCTAGGAACTTACAGTTTTTTGTTGGTGGTGTCATTGAAAAAGTCTTCCAAGTTTTGTATCCGGGTGCATGCTTCGTAACATTAACTTCATGTAATTTGCAAAATACCGGCTGGGATTTTTCATGGTCCTAGGAGGTCCTGTAATTTGACTGTAACTCCTGCTTCTTATTATTTGGTGCCACTTTGGTTTGCGTCTCTCCTAATTATCGTAAAGCCTCCAGCCTACGCCCCTCGTTCCTCGGTGAGACCACCACCCTGAGAGGTGAGCAGCTCTCTCGTTCACGGTGTTTGACACAGTGCCCCCTACTGTAATTCAGAGGTCTCTTTGCAAAAGAGCTCACTGGGCTAAGTGTGGGGCTGTAGAAGCAACTCCCCTTCTCCCTGCTTGTGCAGCTTTCTGCCGTCGCATGAAGCTAGGAGTCCCAGGCTGTCTTTCCAACCCCTGGAGACCTGGCCGCTGTGTTGTCATTGAAAAGAGCTTCCACTTTCTTCCTGTTCCTGCCGCTCGCTACCGCGTGACCCCCAGCCAGCGGCTGCTCCTGTTTGTTCACCGTTTGCCTGACAGGGCACCTCGCTTTGTGCAATTTTGTCTTTGTTTAATTTTTATATCTTCTGTGCCTTGGCCGTGAAACTTGGGTTTGGAAATGTCTATGACTTAAACCCTGCTGTGAATCCTCCCATAATCCCCCCAGGTAGGCCCTCCATATCAGTTTTAGAAGTTGAGATCGATGATGGTGATGATGCGATGCCGCTTAGTGTGGGTTTGTGTAAGCCCATCCATTTGTACGGTTAACCTGTGAAGAACCATATGACTTTTTCTGAGTCAGTTTCCCTGAGTACAGCTGAGCCGTGGTGAGGCCCAGAGAGTTTGTTGGCTTCTTCGAGATTACTCAGCTGTTTAATTTGAGCTGAATCTGCAAGTTAGAATTTCAGGCCCGAAGCATTTTCCATAAACGAAACTGACTTACAGGCTCAAAGATACCTTGGACTCCAATGGGGGGAGGGGGCGGTGTCTAGAAATTGCTGGTGAGTCAGGACATACTACACCCCATTAAAATACCTCAACAGTGAAATACTTTGGGAAAAAAAAATAATGCTTAAGTGTTTAAAATTTTATCCCCCTTCATTATGATCAAAGGAAGTAAGAGATCTTCTTGGAAAATATTCCCGATTGTCTTTAGTCTTCCAGGTACTTCTACAGCTTACTGACAGCATGCCAATATTGCTGATAGTGATTCTTCCTCTTGATGGTATTGTTCGGTTAGCCTGAAGAGAAGCTTGTGCTGGCACAACTGTGCAGCCCGTTCTGATGGCTGTGGGCAAGCCAGGGGCCATGTCTTCTTGCCCAGGTAGAAGGGCTGACCTGTTACTGTGGCTAGTTGGCATGTACAACATGTGTTAGAAGAAGTAATTATTTTTAGCCGACTGACTATGACCAAGATTAATAGCTCTTGAAAGAGCTATAATGAAAGACTGCCCCAACTGGCTTCCACATTATTCTTTATTTATCCCGCTCTCATCCCTGTCACCTTTGGGCATCAGCCAAATGTCATTTATGTGAGATTTGCCCCTTAGATGTGAGAGACTCCTCTTTCTTAATGATGGGAGGTGATTGGGCTGCAGGGCTGAGGCACTTGGGCAGTTGACATGACCCGGAGAGTCCCTCCAGGTCTGTGGGAGTCACAGGAACAGGACACTCACTCCCGAGGGAGGAAGAACATGAGAATGTTCAGCTGTCTGATGTAGATCATTGAGGTATACTTGAGGATTATAGGGAGTAGTTCAAGGGCTCCATTGTCAAGTCTCTATATTTCTGTGGCTCTTCTGTTTGGAACATTTGCAAGTTTCCTATTCTGATTTTTTTTTTTTTTTTTTTAAGTAAAATCATCAACAATTTCCAGTTTTATAAGACTTGGAAATCTCCTCATGGTGGGGACTTTGGAAAAAACCCCTAGTCCCCGTTGCCTTCTCCTGTCATGGTTTTTCAAGTGTACTTAGCTACCCAGAATGCAGGCTGCATTTCCCAGTCTCCTGTACAGCTTAGGTGTGGTCATGTGGCTAATAAGAGGATGTATCCTCTGGTAGTTTCTGGGATGTTCCCTTAAGAGAAAGGTGCTGTGTATGCCTTCTGCCCTTTTCTTCCTAGGCCCTTCCTTTTATCTTGCTGCCTGGGATGTCGGTGCTGCATTTGGATCTTGGGAACGAGGGCCAGTCCTTAGGGGTAGCGGAGTGGGTAAGCGGGCGGCGGTGGCTTGAGTCTCTCCAGACAGTATGAGAACTAACACCCCGGTCTGGCTGAGCCACTGTCATTTTGAGTTTTCTGTCACTTGCAAGCCAAACCTTAGGTGATACATGGTTTGTACGCATTGCAGCAGAGGAAAATAAATCCCGAGCCCTTGGACTCCTGCTCTCATTCTAAATCACACTGTCAAAATCGAAAGCTCCCTCACTCTTCCTTCTTTCAATCCTGCAAATTAAAGCAACCTACCAAAAAGATAATGCATTCATTGATTTAAGAACTAAAGACATGAGAGATACATGAAAGATACACGAGAGGCAAAATAGCCAGTGGGCTGGACCAGGGAGTAACTCATTCGGGGAAATGATCACCAGTCTTAGTGGCCGTCTCTAAGACAGGTCAGGGAGCCCTCACCACTTTCTAGTGTTGGTGGCAGCAACAGCCTCTTTTCTCAGCTTAGTAGAGCGCCTTAAGGATTCAGCTTCATTTGTTTTCGTAAGGACCCGGGGAGCTTTTGAAAATTTCAGGTTTCAAATGTCAAGTCTTTTCAGTGCTTTCAGTTCCCTTGTACGATAGCGCTGTTTATATTTTGCCTGATTCTGGTTTTAAGCCACAAGGTTTGCATGGGGCCATCCTTTCTCTAATATTATCCATATTAGATCAAATGTACTATATTAGCTACAGTGGGTTGCCAATTATTATTAACACAACCCTTTTAAAAGAGATGCT